AGTGCAGTGCACTTGAACGTAGTGGATTCGAGTAGAGTGGTGTAAGGTGGAGAAAGCTATGCGAAGTTGGGTGGAGTGGAGTGGAGCGGAGGAGAGTGAAGTGAAGTGAATTAGAGTGAATTGGAGTAGGGTGGAGTGGAGTGGATTGGATTGGAGTGTAGTGGTGTGCCAATAGTCGGATTGTGCCCGCGACCCCCGGAAAACCCGTGACGAGGCTTCATCAGTGCCGCCATGGCAGATGTCGCCAGAGCGAGGAAGCATCACTTGCTCAACCATGCACAGACGCCGTACAAACAGAAGCACAGCACAGATTCGTGCGAATCGTGGGACTGCGGGCCGAGAGCTTGTCAGTGCAATCCGCCCATTTCCGCTCCACTTTGCTCCATTCCACGGCAGTCCCACTTCCACTCAATTCACCAGACCATCAGACGGCGCACCCTTGCGTCTGCACAACAAAAGGTCAGCAGGTCAACTGATCAAAAGACCTGCACTTGTCCAGATCGACAGACCAGCAGAACATAGGACCAAGCGACCGCCAGACAAACGGACAAGCAGTACTCCACAACGTCAGTTCATTAGTCCCATAGCATAATAGAGCAACAGAACAGCAACCAAATAGAAGAACAAGCAAACAAATAGAAAAACTGGCAGACTGACCCGCAAGTCCGAATTGATTGCGATTGGATTTGGCGCCTCTTCCAACCAACACCAGACACATCCTCTTTATTCGTATGCGAGTAGGGTTTCGAGACTACCACTAAATCAGTTGTATGAAATGTATTCACCCTATTTCGTCTAAGCTGATGAAGGACTGGTAGAAGAAGAATTTTCCCAGAATCATATGAGTTAAGCTGACGTTTCCCTTGAATTTCATATTGCCTTGCTTTCCCAAAAATTGTTCTCATCCAGACACCCTTGGACTGCAGTTTCGACCTCGCATCGGTCTTATCAACACCCTCAGCGGGAGTCGAGTCAAAGGTACTCGTGGCAGTGTAGCCAAGTGATTAGCGTGTCAAGCTCCCATCCCGCACTGTCGCGGTTCGAATCCCGCTGAGGGTGTTGATAAGACCAGTTGATGCGAG